AATCGCTTTTCGAATGGTTTTCAGTTAAAAAACTGTTGTATTACAATAATATTCCATCCAAATTCACTTGTGATGCAACAGTTTTTTAACTGAAAACCATTCGAAAAGCGATTAAGGTAACATCTTTTAAATGAAAGAAAGCGAAAGTCATTGTTTTCGTCACGATTTTATCCCACTTTCCACTGTAATACGTAAGTCATTTCAGCAAAAATATTACATTTCCGTGAATGTAGTATATCAAGCACAGTATGAATAGAATATTATTGTAATATAGCAGTATTTTAACCGAAAACTATTAAAAAAACGAGTAACATCTCTTGAACATCGGAAGGTTGGGTAAAGTCTTTTGTTTTCGCCATGTATTTTATCCTATTTTACATTGAAATACATCACGTTTCAGCAAAACTACTATTCATTTCTGAGAATATATTCATTCAGGCACAGTTTAGGTAAAATATACAAGTGATGTAACAGTTTTTAACTGAAAACGATTCGAAAAACACGTACCCTCTAGCCCTGTTTAAGGAGAAGACTGGGAGGAGCTGTTTTGTGCTGAAGATGATGACAAGGAAAATGATTTTGATGGATTTTAATGAAAATATTCAGAAATATGGTAACGTAGTATTTATTCAAGTGAATTAGGATAGAATATTATTGTAATACAACAGTTTTTTAACTGAAAACCATTCGAAAAGCGATTACGGTAAAATCATTTGAACAACGAAAGAAAGCGAAAGTCATTGCTTTCGTCATGATTTTATCCCACTTTCCACTGTAATACGTACGTCATTTCAGCAAAAATATTACATTTCCATACTTATTTTTGAGAATATATTCATTCAGTCACATTTAAGGTAAAATATACTTGTGATGTACAGTAGTACCCCAATTTACGCGGTCAATTGAACCCACAGGGTACCGCGGAAAGTGAAATCCGCGTAAATGGAACAACAGAACATATGGGATTAATTCCAATAGAGACTGGCCCGACCCCCAAACTCCACTTTTTCCGACACAATACCTATGTTGTAGTAAAAATAACATCTAAATTTTATGATGGTATGCTCACACAATTAATATTTAAGAGAAATACAGTCGCCAGGTTAATGTCCATTCAAATAATAGACTCAAATCCCCCCCCCCTCTTCCCACTCACTGGCCCCTACCTCTCTGAGAAATGATTGGGTGAAACACTATATTTTAACGTTTAGTAATAAATAATACCTCAGACTAAAGTTAGGATAATATAATTGACATTTCTGGATTCCTTGCAGGCCAGGGAGTATTTTGAATGTAAACTTCATATATTTTGCAATAAAGATAAAATACTTGCCTTGTGTAAACCAAATTATTACATGAGATCTAAAATTTGTATGTCTAATACAAAATCCATGATGTTTATATTCAAAATGATCATCATATTGTAAGAATTCCAGCAATGTAAATTATATTCTGGTCCAGTAATTTGTATGAATTGTATGAGCTAAAACAAATATCTTCAGTTAATAAAAAAAAAATATTCTTCACGACACTATCTGTCAATCAAAGTACCCCAACTTGCCTCCCCCCTCTTCCAACCGCGCCAGATGGTTGGTTGGTCCCAACCCTCCCCCCACCTTCCCTCCCTACCAGAGAAATGTTGGGTGAAAAAACTAATTTTAACTTTTAGTAACAAATAATACCTCAGACTAAAGTTAGGATAATATAATTGACATTGCTGGATTCCTTGTAAGACCAGGAACATTTTGAATATAAATGTTATATATTTTGCACAAAAGATAACTATTTACTCAGTGTAAACATTACATCTAAAATTTGTATGTCTAATGCAAAATCTATGATGTTTATATTCAAAATGATCATCAAATTTTAAGAATTTCAGCAATGTAAATTATATTCTGGCCGGGTAATTTGTATGAATTTTATGAGCTAAATAAAAAAAAAAAAATTATACTTCACGCGTATATGGGTAGATGAACCGCGGAAGTGAAAGTTCGGTTCTGGCGAGGCACCGCGCATATGAGAAATCGCGTAAAGTGGGGTCATACTGTAATATTTTAATGAAAATACCCGGTATTTAGAAATACGGTATCGTAGTTTTATTTTGTTTCAAATTTAATTAACAAAGATTGATGTTTCAAATGTAATGAACAAAAATTTATGTATCTATAAATAAACTTTAAAAAAATGAATACTTTATGTTTTACATCGTCTTGTGCTACCATACCATGTATTTGGCTACTTTGGGCTTGCTATGATGACGCAAGAGATCTGCCCTGGCAACTGTACCGACACTCACAGCTGGTGGTGCATCGTTTCCATTGTTTACTATTAGTTACTGGTAAATATTTTTCAACCTAACAAAACTATTACCCGTTTAGAGGTCGACCCCCAATTTGTTGCCAAATAATTTGGTCTTAAAAACTCGAACTACACACAGGTATATACGGTAAATAAGGACATGGGGGGGCCAGGGGTGTTTTTAGGGGGGGAGGCAGCAAAAACACGCGGATTTTTAACATTCACGGGTATCTCTGTTACCTAATCCCCGCGTATGTTAAGGGCCGAATGTAGTTGCATAAGAGTTTTATACAAATATTCCTCGCCTATGATGCACAGAGAAAATTTTGTCCTATCAACCTGGGAATCTCTCTTCAAGTCACACCTATGAAGTGTTGCATTTGTGTAAAAAGGCTTACCTGATAAAGCAATAAAAATATATTAGAACTCGACTTAAAACTGTGCTATGTAACTTAAATAGCAATTACTATTTTGATATTAAATATAAAAAACAGGTAATATTTCATAATACAGTTGTACCCCACTTAACGCGGTCAATTGAACCCAGAGGGTCCCGCGTTAAGTGAAAACCGCGTTAAGTGAATAACAGAACATATGGGATTAATTCCAATAGAACCCAGCCCGACCCCCAAACTCCACTTTTTGACGACAAATAACTATGTTGTAGTAAAAATAACATCTTAATTTTATGATGGTACATGCACACAATTAATACTTAAGAGAAATAGAGAAATACAGTTGCCAAGTTAATGTCCATTCAAATAATGGACTCAACTCCCTCCCCCTCTTCTCACACTACACTCACTGGCTCTTCCCTCTGAGAAATTTTTGGGGGAAAACCAGGTATAGTAATAAATAATTCCTCAAACTAAAGTTAGGATAATATAATTGACATTGCTGGATTCCTTGTAAGACCAGGAATATTTTGAATATAAATGTCATATATTTTTCACAAAAGATAACATATTTACTCAGAATAAACTTTACATCTAAAATTTGTATGTCTAATGCAAAATCTATGATGTTTATATTCAAAATGATCAGCAAATTGTAAGAATTCCAGCAATGTAAATTATATTCTGGCCGGATAATTTGTATGAATTTTATGAGCTAAAACAAATATCTTCAGTTAATAAAAAAAAAAAAATATTCTTCGACACTATCTGTCAATCAAAGTACCCCACCTTGCCTTCCCCCCCTCTTCCAACCGCGTGGTCAGTCCCAACCCTCCCCCCACCCCCCACCAATCCTCCATTCAAGAGTTTTTAACATTTAGTATTAAATAATACCTCAGATTAAAGTTAGGATAATATAATTGACATTGCTGGATTCCTTGTAAGACCAGGAATATTTTGAATATAAATGTCATATATTTTGGACAAAAGATAACATAATTACCTAGAGAACAATTTTTATCTAAAAATTGTATGTTTAATGCAAAATATATGTTGTTTATATTCAAAATGATCACCAAATTATAAGAATTCCAGCAATGTAAATTATATTCTGACCGGGTAATTTGTATGAATTTTATGAGCTAAAACAAATATCTTCAGTTAATAAAAAAAAAAATAATTCTTCACGGGTAACAGATGGTCGGTCGGTCGGTCCCTCCCTCCCCCCCACCCCCCACCCCCCACCAACCGTCCCAAGGAGATGTGTGGGATAACCACTAAATTTTAATAAATAATACCTCAAACTAAAGTTAGGATAATATAATTGACATTGCTGGATTCCTTGTAAGACCAGGAATATTTTGAATATAAATGTCATATATTTTGGACAAAAGATAACATAATTACCTAGAGAACAATTTTTATCTAAAAATTGTATGTTTAATGCAAAATATATGTTGTTTATATTCAAAATGATCACCAAATTATAAGAATTCCAGCAATGTAAATTATATTCTGGCTGGGTAATTTGTATGAATTTTATGAGCTAAAACAGGCAGTCAGGCAGGGTGGCGGGTGGGGGGGTGGTGCGAATCTAAAAATAGCTCTCGAGCCGGACACTCACCGCGTATATGATGAAAAATGCTGCGTTAAGTGAAAGTTCAGCTTTGGCAAGGCACCGCGTATATGCGAAAACGCGTTAAGTGAAAGCGCGTTAAGCGGGGTAATACTGTATATCACAAACAGGAAACTTACAACAATAATGAAGACATGAAATTGATGTAATTTCTATCCTTATCAGTGAGAGGAGAGCTGCAAAAACAATTATCTTTCTTTATAGTGTACTGTCAAGAGATAAGCAATTACTATAATTTTTTTTTGTCTTCTTAAATTTCATAAACAGGTACCCAAGTGGACACCAGGGATGTTATAGAGCAAATTTTCAACTCCAAAGGTCTTTGGCAGCAAGTGTTTCCATTAATCTGCTATGTTATTTCAAAGACAAATTTCTGCAATATACCTGCTAATGTATGGTATTTTCTTGCTTTATGGCAGTTAAATACTGTAGATTCTCGTGCACTAGCAACCTTGCCAATACTTGAGAAGGTGTTCTTTATATTTTAGTTAATACAGTACTTGAGGAAACCTGAAAATTTCAAAAGTTTACAGTAGCCATAGCAGAATGCTTGCTTAAGAGGTGCTTCTTTAGGCTAGACTTGCGTGCCGTCATGTGATCACAGTAAGGGCAAGTGAAAGGCTTTTCTCCAGTGTGAATTCTCAGATGACGGGTAAGGTCTGACCGTAAGAAGAATGGCCGAAAACAAAAGTGGCAAGTGTGAGGTCCTCCTGCTGGTGGTCCTGGTGGCACAGCTGGTGACAACCCCGACGGCAGTCCTCTACCCATCCCCTAGAAGAGGAACAGCAGCTTCACAAAAAGCTCAACAAAACTCCCACCAAACTCATTAATAAAAATAATAAGTCTACAAAATACTACTCATGTTACAAAAGCCACTTTACTTAAACCTGCCTTTACAGTACATAAGGTACATCTGCCTCACTAGTGACAACATTATACCCTTCATAAAACTTAAAAGGCACATCCACCGTGCTGAAGCAAATACACATATTTCAAACAGTACAGTAGTTAACACACTTAACTTATTACTAAAGTACATCCTCCTTAAGTGGAACACACACCTTCATACACAAGCTACCACACATTTCCCTTGATAACACATCTACCTGTTCAAGGCAACATATTCTCACATAGCAGTTAACACACATCACCATCTAGTAGTTAACACACATCATCATACAGTAGTTAACGCACAACACCATCCAGTAGTTATCACACATCACCATCCAGTAATTAACACACATCATCATTCAGCAGTTAACACACATCACCAACCAGTAGTTAACACACATCATCATACAGTAGTTATCACACATCATCATACAGTAGTTAACACACATCATCATACAGTAGTTATCACACATCATCATACAGTAGTTAACACACATCATACAGTAGTTAACACACATCATCTTACAGTAGTTAACACATCATCATACAGTAGTTATCACACATCATCATACAGTAGTTAACACACCTTAATACAATGGTTAGCACACATCTATTTTGTTGAATCTAACACTTTTCATCCCCATACTGTACATCACCTAATATTAACACATCCATATTGTTGATGCTTAACATCAATGAGTTCATACATACAGGGAGAACAAACACTGACTGGCCTTCATCAACAAACATACATAAATTAATATAAAAAAATAATATATATATATATATATATATATATATATATATATATATATATATATATATATATATATATATATATATATATATATATATATATATATATATATATATATATATATATATAAACTGAGGAAATAATATTGTTTTATAATGTTCATAAATATGTAAATCAGGGATTATACAGTATAAGCTTGTGTTAAAATAAATTGATAATATAGAATATCCTTGAAAAATGGCTGTTTAAACTATACCAAACCTTTGTTTAACCTCAACTATAATTCTTTGTAATTGTAGCATCTACATAAACAAGTGTTGACTTTGTGGGCGGCAGAGAGCAGTCAGTGATAGTTTCCACCATAAATGGAAGACGATATTTTTTGTCTCTCTTCTTTGACCTGACTTGACTCAATGTCAGGTGGAGGTAGGGTGGGGGAATAGTAGTCTCATATTACTGACCTGGTGGAATGTCAGGTCACCCTTTCTTTGGTGGATTAATGGGTCTCATGACCTGAAGATGTCTTGAATAAACACGAAATCTAAAGTATTTTTATGGAGATTGTGATAAGTATACAGAGGTCCCTCGGTTAACGAAATTTCAGTTAACGAATTATCTTCCATAAGAATCTTCAATTCCGTTAACGAAAAAAAATTGATTACCGAAATCCTTACGAAAATCACGTTTTGTTTTGAACATCAGCTGATAAGCTGAGGAGATACTCAGCCAATTCAGTAATCTCTTCTATGTTTACATTCGTTTCCAATGGAGTAAATATCAAGAAAATTGTGCTCTTTAATATTTGTGCATTTTTTTATACAGTGTTAAAATTATTGGTCATTCAAAAATTTAGCCATACAAGCTCTGTCTACATAAAGTTTTTCAACTATTATTTTTGGCTCGATATATGTAACTTTATATATATATACAGTTAACCCTCACTTTACGCGGTCCCGCATTCCGCGTTTCCACGTTAACGCGGTGCCTTGCCAGAACCTCAGGTGCTCACATTACGCGGTACGTGAACCCCATTACGCGGAGAGTGTCCGGCGCGACGCTATTTTTAGATTCGCCCCACCCGCCGGCCTGCCTGCCTGCCTCTCCCTCCTCCTCCCTCCGCTTGGGCAAGCGGCGCGGTAAGGTTGCGCAGTGTGTGTCTTTGTTGCGTTATCACTGACGTCATATGACGTATCAGACCTGTGATTGACCATGCATCCCTACCCCCCTCTGCTGCTAGCTGTAATTGGCTTAAAGTATTATGACGTGTCCACCCGGGGGAGGGAGGGAGGGAGGAAAGACGACGCTTGACCTAGCCGCGGCAGTTTCATCCCTCAAGGCCACTCCGTGTAAACGCGCATCCATTGTTCCGTAAAATGGCTTCCGCCGGACCACCACCCCCAGAGAGAAACCTTTCCTTACCTGGACCCAGCGGCACTAAACCAAAGAAGACACGACGTTCCTTAAGCTACGAGGTGAAGTATAGCATCATCCAAGAGTTGGAGAAAGGAACAAGGCAGGTTGATTTGGCGCGCCAGCATGGCGTGAACGAATCTACGATCCGGACTATAAAGAAGGATTCAGCCAAGATAAAGGAGCACATGAAGATCACAAAGTCTACAGGTGCTTCTATGATCAAGTATTTTCACAACCAGGTGCTTCTCAAGACAGAAAAATTACTTGTGAGGTACTTGGTGCGTCAGGCGCGACGGAACATGGCGGTCGACACGCGCTCTGTTAAGGACTACGCACGTGAACTGTACATAGCAGTGGCACGAAAGATGGGAACTTCAGAGCCCAAACCCTTTAATGCTTCCTCTGGATGGTTACAAAGGTTTAAGATCCGGAACAAGATCACCAATATAAACATTGGTGGTGAAGAAGTGAGTGCTGATCGTGCTGCAGCTCGGGAATTTCCTCCGTTTTTACGTGAGATTATGGAGGAAGGACAGTACAGTGACGACCAGGTGTTTAACATGGACGAATCTGGTCTTTTCTGGAAAAAACTACCTTCCAAGTCCTTCGTTGTAAAGAATGCCTGCAGGATTCGGGGCCGGAAAATGCAGAAGGAACGCATCACCGTCCTGTTTACCACCAATGCCTCTGGTACCTGTAAGCTCAAGTTATCGGTGATCCACACAGCCCGCAAGCCGCACGCCTACAAGAGCATGGACATGACCAAGCTAAATGTCCACTGGCTGACCGCACGTAAGGCATGGATGTTCTCTACACTGTCCCTCTCCTGGTTTGATGACTGTTTTGTTCCCGATGTAAAGAAATTCTGTGAGCGACAGAATGTCCCATTTAATATTTTGTTGCTGCTGGACAACGCACCAGGACACTCGCCCCTACTGTTAGATCGTCACCCCAACGTAAAAGAGGTCTTCCTTCCTCCCAACACTACGTCTATATTACAGCCCATGGACCAAGAGTTAATCTGTAATGTAAAAGCTGCATTCTCAACAAAAAAATTCCAGCTCCTAAACGACTACACCAACACCAGGGAAGAGTTGCGTAACCTGAGTGACACCACCACCGATAGCAAGAGCGAAGAAGATGAGGATCAACAGTTGGAACAGCAAAAAATACTCTTCAAACAATTCTGGAGAGTATTTAACATCAAGAAAGCTGTGGACTTCTTGGTGGAGTCATGGGATCAGCTGTCTATTGCTACAATTCGTCATGCATGGAGACATGTGTTGCATGGAATACCAGGTGAGAGGAGGAGTCAATCTGTGACTGGTGAGGTTCAGAATGTTGCAGTAGCAGTGGACCTTGCCAGAGAAGCTGCGCAGACTGTTACAGTTCCAGGCTTCTCCGAGACCACCAACGACGACATCCTGGAGGTGATCAGAGATCCTGAGGTGACTGCCGACGAGATGGTGGAAGAAGATCACGTCAGTGAAGAGGAGGAAGAAGGTGCGTCATTCTCCGAAGAACACAGTTTAACTCATAGTGATATTAAGGGTGCCATGGAGTGTGCAGAGAAAATGAAGTCCTTCCTTTCCCGCGACAATGACGATGACCGCTATGAAGTCTTCCATACCCGGCTGGTGCAGGCTATGGAGCCGTACATCACGGTGTATCACGACAACATAAACACCAGCCGTCAAAAAAGCATAACCGAGTTCTTCGCCCGCAACCCACCACAGCCAGCCCAAGCCAGTGATAGTGACAGTGAAGATGACTTTGAGGGATTTGTCAGGGAAGCCCTGACAACTGTAAGTGACAGTGATGGTGATTCACCTAGTAATGGTGATTCACCTGAGGGCCAGTAATCTGCCCTCTGCCTCGGAACCAGCCTCCATCCCCGTATGCCGACCCATCTCTTCTACTACTGTAAGTGTTCCACCTAACTTTTAGTTTTTCTAACCTAACCTTTATTTTTCCTATGTTAACCTTTATTTTTCCTAACCTAACCTCTTCTATATTACTTGTTTTTTCATACCATCATAAAGTTAAGATAAAATTTTTACTACAACATAGTTGTGTGTCGTCAAAAAGTGGAGTTTGGGGGTCGGCCCGGACTCTATTTCAATTAATCCCATATGTTATGTTATTCACTTTACGCGTTTCTCACTTTACGCGGGACCCTCCGGGTTACATTAACCGCGTAAAGTGAGGGTTAACTGTATATATATATATATATATATATATATATATATATATATATATATATATATATATATATATATATATATATATATATATATATATATATATATATATATATATATATATATATATATATACACGATTTTAGTTTGTCCCATAGGTAGATAGGCAGTATTTTTTATTTTTATTTTTATTTTTTTACTTATCTAAATTATTATTATTATTACAGGAGTATTAAATTTTTGCCCCTCAGGCCCCAATGTGGGTCGGTGACCTATGCCCGGGTGGGCTAATCCCCGTAAAAAAAAACAACAAAGCCGCGGGAAATTAAGGTTTGTTTACATCCGGCAGCTCTCTCTCTCTCTCTCTGCTTGTCTATACAGAGTACAACATTTAATCCTTCAATATATTTGATTAGTAAATAAATGTTGCTTTCATATTCTTATGTAGAGTAATGACGATATGTTTTAAAGGGTGCGCACTTACATACGCGCAGTCTCATTTTTTTTTT